CGACGACGACGACGACGACGACGACGACGATTCATTTTTCACCTGTTACCAATAAATACGGATGACTGAGAGAAATGAAATTTTACATGGTAAGATTCGCGAGAGTATTCATAGTTAAATTCATAGAAAGATATCGCTCGACAATATGAATGAATTGTCCCCGATTGCATAATTCGGTCGGCGGGGATGACCTTCGGCCTCCATTAGGCAGAGCAAGCAAGCAACGTCACGAAACGTTGAGCGAAAGTTTATTGCTGTCGTAGGGAGATAACCCCTAACCGTATACCACGATACTATTCAAGAGTTTGCCTTGTTCGTAAACTCATTTTCCTTGCCATGTAACCGATATCGAGAACTCGCTTTGCGTTGTGCAACGTCCACCACCACCACTACCACGACGTTGCATCGTATCACGTTGGTATTAGAAAAATAAGTAAGTGGAGACGAGGATCGGAATGAAAAAGGAGTATGTTGGAAAGAGAAGGAGAGATGTCGAAAGTGAAGATTTAGCGAAATCGATGCACTGCGGATTGGTTATAAATAACGAATAAAGTTTTATTTTACATGATCGATAATCGATTAGAGAGTAGAGTACACGTAACGCGAGGTTACGACGTCGGGCATAATCGAAATTCGGTTCGCGAACGATGGTACATGTTTGTTCACGAGATACAACAACGCGTCTAGCTTGCAATTAAAGAGTAGGATTTCGATCGTGGATTTAACTTACACGCACTTTCCGAAGGAAAAAGACCGGAGAATCTGAGAGCATTCGTTTCTCGGAATAACTTGTTAAATACTTGGCTAATATTCGAATACACGTGTGCCGCGTCGCGTTAACTTTTCGGTACATACGAACCTTAATCGTGTTATTCGGTAGAAAGTTGGCAGCACGTAACAAGATCGATGCAACGAAGGACTGGTCGATTCGTTGATAACGAAGCAGGATCTCTCGAAGATCCGGTGACACTAATAACATAAGAATGAAGGAAATCTGGATGGGAACGAACGAATTCTATCGTTCGACGTTTGATACGAATAAATAAAAGGAATATACAATTGTCGTAGGCAAGGTACGCTTTTAAAGTGAAATAATTTCGAGGTCGTGAACAATGCTCGCGTACACGACGGTGGGCTTCTAATTAAAATAGAAAAAGAGGTACATATAGAGAAAATAATGGTAATTATGCGAGATAGCGAGGGGATGGGCTGAGGTGGGATAAGTAAGGAAGATAGGAAAAGAAATATCGAACGAGTACGAAAGACGACTGTTAGAAACAGTAACGTCCTCGGATATCTTAGTATCACAGTCAATGCGAAAGCTAGGGACTCGTGGGAGTTTGGGCTTTCGGCGATACCTCGAATCGAATCGATCGTTGATCGACGGTGCGAAAAGATCGTATATTTGAAATCGGTGAATTTGAACGCTCGCGTTTCGCCGATCGAAACGTTCGAGAAGAGATGTAGCAAGTAGATAGAGAAAAAGTAGTAGGCGAAAAGAAAATTTCGCGCGATACGCTTAACAGCGCGAATGTATGTACAAGGTGTATATTATACATATATGCGATCGGTGTGTCGCGAAGAACGACGGATAGGTGGCACCACCGAACGTTATTCGGACGATTCTTTGGTGAGTCGTCTGTGACTGTATACCGTTCTTTCTTCGTCTCTTTCTAACCTTTCGTTTCTTTAAATTCGTTCCGTTCGCTATGTTACGTAATCGGAGCGTTCGTTCGCTCTTGTCACTAGGTTGATAGGCAGGCAGGCAGGCAGGCAGGTAAGTAGGCACAATACACATGAAGTCTATTGGTTCGTCGGTAGCTCGTAGTAGGATCGTTGGGAAGGGAAGAGAAGAAGATCGAAAATGTTCAAGAACAAGCGCACTCGAGTACTTGAATGTTCTTCCAATAGGAGACTTTCAACTGAGTGGCATCGTCCTCGTCAAAGTAAACGATCATCAGTTGATCGAGCTTGCTCGGAGCACAGCACGGCTTAGGCACTTTCTTTCTGTCCTCTTTCCAGAGAAGGCTTTGCAGAAGAGCGTGATGATGAGCCGGATTGTACCTGGGTGGACAACGACCTTTGCAGTATCCGGCGTCGAATGTTTTCGGGTAAACGATAAATTCGAAACCTTTCAAGTCTTTAAACATAACGGTAAGCTCGTGTCTGCAACACTTTTTGCCCTCGCCTTTGCATTTCGATCTACGACCTTTGTGGAGAGACATCAACTCTTCGGGGGAGGATCGTTTGGATCGGGTAGCAGTGGTGTATTCGGAGCTGGCGGTAAACACGTTGAGAACTGGATAGGAAAAGGCGCGTCGCACCGGCCCTCCGTTCACCATAAATTCGAGTTCGAGGGGTTCGTGATGGAACCACGAGGAGGTGGCCAGGGTTGCGTCCAGCTCGATCCATCTGGAGTCTCGTGGATCGCGCAGCTCGATCCTTCCGCGGGCTATCAACTTTCTCGAACCGCTGAACGTTCGAAGATGGAGCAGCAGTTCTAGGTGGGTTGGTCGAGCGTAGCGCGGCTCGGTGACCGAACCGTGGAGCAGCAGCCTAAGGGTCGCGTGTTCCACCGCATCCTCCTCAGGTATTTCCACGGGGAAGAACAACCGATGACGAGAACGGGCTTCCCTCTCGCTTCCTCTCGCCCCGGACAGCTGGCTCGATTCGTTTCCAGGATAGGCTGCAACAATTGCGAGAAACAGAGGAACGTTACGTAAAGGAAAGGCTCGGTATTCGATTGGCGAAAAGAAGTAGGAAACTCGCGTCTGCGTTTCAAGCGTGTTTTCGGTGCGGCGACGGATGCGACCGATTCAAGCACGAAAACGAGAACGAGAACGAGAACGAGAACGAGAACGAGCGTCGTTTTATTCTGCGATAAAGTTCTGTATACACGCGAGCGTATTTTCCGCGTACTCGTTTCTTAGACGAACACATCTGGCTCGTGTTGCGGCTCCTAGAATCTAATAAATCTGTCGAGAATAATGGTAAAGTTATCTGGATATATATCTTGTTACTGGTAGAGCCGGCTACGATATCCAGCGGTCAGGGAGTCGAACGTTATCGCGTTTGTTATTGGTGCTCGGTTTTTGGATATCGAATATGCCATAGATACATAGGCAGCAGCGAATCTGAGAACGGCATCGAACACACGAGCGCGTTGGCGTTGCTCGCGAGAAACTTGAGAAATTGCTCGAGAATTGGGTGGTATGTATTTCGGTATTTCGGTATTCCAGCAGCTTGTGTAAGTATTATATGTACTACAGCCGAAGTGTATGCCGAAGAAGAGAAGCAGCACGCGCGTTTCTTCGTCGAGAGGGTAATTGGATTGTTCGTCGCTCTAACCAATTATTATACATATGGGTTATCCTGCGGCTAGTTTTCGCGGAATCGGCACACGGTCCTCCTTGCGAGAGTCGCGTTTCTCGTTCACGAGAAAGGAAAACAAACTAGTCCGCGGGGCTTCCTCGGCGATTCCTTCTTTT